CTAAAAATAGAAACTTTTGTGTAACTATAGTGAAAATAGCAATTTATAATGGTGAAAATAGGGCTACTCTATATATATATACTTATATATATATATATATAGTATTGTTATTTAGACCAAACTTGAATTTAGCTAATCAAATATATCTGCTAAACAAATTTAACTTTTAATATATTAAATAGCTAATTATATAAATATAAGTTAAGGTCAGATAACTTATATTTTATATCTTTAATATAGATGTATAATATGCAATACAAAACAGCTAATTATATTCAATAATTTTTATAAAAAAAATTTTGATTTATTTTTTTATAAATATTTATTTTTTTATTTTTTTATTTTAGATCTAGATAACTAGAACTGATATAGAAGGTAAGTATCAACTTCTAATATTTTTTTTATATTTTTTTTTATTTTTTTAATATATACTATATATATTTTTTATATATTTATACTATAGTATTTCATTAAGTATTTGTAAATAGATATCAGAATTAGTAATTTAAACTAGAAAAGTAGCTAGTACTTATACAACTAACTTCTAATACTTTTTTTTTTATCTTTTTATATAACACTGTCTTTTTTTATAAGCTTGTAGAATACTTTACTTTGTTAGATATTGAAAATAGATGTTGAAATTGATCTAATTTTAGAATACAACTAAAATTAGTAAAATTAATAATTACTAATTTTAGTTTATTGTTTTTCTTATTTTTTCTATTTTTTAACATTTCTTTCTCTTTTTGTAATTTGTATAGTACTTTTTTTGGTGTTGAAAATGGATATTAGAATTAAAGATCTAGATTTGAAAAGCAACTAGAAGTGATATAAAAGCTAAGTATCAATTTCTATTTTTTTTCATTTTTTTATTATTTAACCCTATTTTTTCATTATATTAGTTTGTATAAACTTTGCTAGATATTTATTTATTATCAAAAATCATCAAAGATAAAATTTGCTATTTTGGTATATTTTAGATTAACTATTGTTATTAAAATAGAATTAGAGTTGAAAAAGAATAAGTATAAAGTATTTAGTTGTTATCAAATTAGCTAGCATAGTATTGAAAATAGGTGCTAGAATCTTTAAGGTAAGTAAACCTAAATATCTAAATCAATGATAAGAACTATATAACTAAAAATATATATTTTTTATTATTTTTTTTTATTTTCTTGTTTATTTTAATAACTTCTTTTTTTATAGATTCTTTTATAGGCAAAAGTTTTTGTAAGATTAATTTATGATAATAGATATTTCATATTCTGTTTTTTTCTTATTTAAATATTTATTTTAAGCTAACAAATTTTTTTTTGTTTATAAACCTGAGTAGAGATGTAAGTACAATACTGTAATTAATCATAATTATAATAAATTATAGCATTTTTGCTGTAATTTATTATAATTATAATTATTTACAATATTATACTCACACCTCTAATTGCAAAAGAAACAATTAGATAAATAAGACAGTAATTAGGGTATAATAGTATTGTAATCAATAGTTTAATTCATGAGACTAAGTATAATAATTATATTGCAATTGATAGTTGGGTTTATTATGCAATGTTTATATAGAACATCAATTAGTAATTCATGTATAATGCAATAAATAAATCTAAATAAACATATAATTTACAAACTTTTTAAATATTAATAAATTTATATTATGAATTCAGATATGTCTAAAAATATTCAAAATATATCATTTGGATACTGTCCAATTAACAATATATTTACACAAACATAATTTGAACATAGATATTAGACAATATTTAAAAATATCTGATCCGGCATAAATAACTCAGATATTGAAAAGAAACAACACTGTATGTAGGTGCTGTTACTATTGTTTGGCAGAGCTTCTTATAATAACAGCACAATCTAGCTCCAATAGTTAATTTATATGTTCTTTTATATTAGAATTAGAGCAATAAAATAAATAATACTATATAACTGATTATAATTATAACTTGTGCACATAAAATTATGTAATTAATCCAAGATTAGGTAGTAATCAATCAGATAATTAATTTAAAAATTCAAATCTAAATCAAAACAGTTTATAATATAAATGATATGTTTCACAGACATCAATATCTTTAAGGTAGATAATGTATATAATATACTTAATAAAGAGTAATAATAAAAATATATAATATATGATCATTAAGAATCTTAATAGTTAAATAGGGAAATAATAATAAATATAACAATATAACAATAAACTTGTAACAATAATTGAGAAATCAATTCTTAATACTTCTATATTAAAGACATTAAAGTCTAAAGCTTTATTCAAAAACAAAAAACAGCTCTTTTATACTTTTTAGTTTCAATAAGTAAGGCTTGTACAAGTTATTCTTAGTTTCTTTAACTAAAACTATACATTTGCTAAGCATCCTACTATTTATATACTTACTTTACTTATTTTCTATTCTACTAACTAAGCTTTTCTATGTTCTAGTCACTCTGCCTTACTTTCTTCTAACCTTTTTCTAAGCTTTGGCTCACTTCTAGTTATTATGCCTTAATAAACAAGTAAGAATCTTCAAATATAAAATAAATAAAATGATGAATTATTAAATATTATGTCTCTGAATAATCTAAGCCTTAGTTATCTACTTAGCCCCATTACACTCATGTGACTTAAGGCTTATATACATCTTTATTACAACCCATATATTACTCAGTCACGATTTTTTTAGAAAATCGTGACAGTGCTAATCAATTTGCAAATTAAACTCACGTGAAACTACAAGGGTTTAAATGATCCCTACTTTCACGTTCTAACTAAAATTTATTTCTGATTGTAACTCAGATAGTAGGCTTTTCTTTTATTAAAGCTTATGATATTCTATACTATTCAGGTTTAATAAAATTTAGATGTGATTTTCTTACAAGTGACGAAAGTCTTTTAACACATCCATAGAAATTAGTTGAAAACTCGACTTATTGAAGATCTGTATTGATAACTTTCTAAATTTTTTTTGACTACTTTCTAGCGAATAGACTTTGTAAATATTATACTTTACTAACTTAACTAGAGTTATATCAATATTGGTTATTTGGCTATGATCAACTAATAATTATTACTGCATCATTAATAGAGGTCATTTAAAGCCTTGTAGTTTCATGCGAGTTTTAATTTGCAAATCGATTAGCACCTATGTATGTACGTACATGCCTAGATTTAGACTATCATTGTAAATAATAAGTGTTATATTGATCAATAACTTATCAATTCGGTGGAATAACATTCGGTTAATTTTTTATGAGGTATCACAGGAATTATGTATATATGTATGTATAGTTGAATATAGAAATGATACTTTCAAAGCAATAATTGAGTTAGAAAAATTAAATGTTAATAAATCAAATTGAATTCTTAAAGATACTGCATGGATGTATTAAAAACCTTTATAATCCTTTTTCTATAAATATAATTAGAATCTATGGGTGTTAGACTAGAATTATTTTGTCTGTGAAAGGAGCATTGGTGAAATAAACTATCAATAGAATGAACTTGTCATGAAATAAGTGTTAATAAAATTAGTTTGGTGATTTAACTAAAACAGAACTTCCTTCTCACAACTAAGCTGTTAATAAGTTGATCAAAACTGAATAATTCAATCTACTAAAATATGTGTAGTCATGCTTCTGAATATAATCATGCAAAATTATATAATTTAACAGAACACTTCAATTAGATCATAACGCAATTCTAGAAAGAGAACATAATAACTATAGACTTACTAATTTACTATTGAAATATATAAAATCACGGTTTAGAAATTCACAGTTGAAAAACAATGTAGACAACTATTTTACTAATAGTCACTTTAATAATTTCTAGCCAGCCCTAATTAAACCCTAATTAAACTAAGCCAAAACTTGTTAATGAAATGGTTGTCGGCGAAATTGATTTGTATCCTAAAAAAATATTAAAATATCTCTATTCACAAGTTAGGTTAATATACAATATTAAATAATTAAAGAAAAATACAATATACAATACTTATAATTTAGGCTTTAACTTTGATAATATAACTTTGTAATTTTATTTCTAATCATAAAATTGTATATTTTTTTTAATTATTAAAAGCAAAATAGTTATTGAAGTTTACTCAAATCAAAAACAAATACAAAAACAACTAAACTGTTAACTAGAAGAAATTAAGAATAAATGTATATATAAAGGTAAGTGCAAACTATATATATATGTCTGTAAGTGTTGTATTATTACTAAGGGTTTCAGTAAATTTTTTGCCTCTAGGTTTGTGATTTTTATATTTGTACAAAGGGCTTTCTTCAACTCTTTTAGGTCCCAGTCTATTATCGTCATCTGGAGTACAAAGATACAGGTGAAATTCTATAATATGAATAAAGTAAATTTACAAAAATAAATAGTTTGGGGGGTATGCTAAAGGCTTTACATCTAAGAATTTTTTACAGTAATAAATAATCTCATACTATACCCAGTAGTATAAGATTAGGCATATGTATATACGTACATACATATATCGATATTAAATTTTATATAACTACCCTTAGACTCTATTATGACTACAATTCTTGTTGGTACAAATTTGTAATTATATCGATACCTATGTCTTCTTATATTTGAACTATTCGGTTCCATAACTTGTCTTTTTCGGTTCTATCAAAATACTCCTTTTTATTTTACTCCATAAATGTTCAATTAGATTTAGATCAGGAGAGTAGAACAGTTATATTATCTTTAAGCCATGCTTTTGTTGCAATTGACATGTGTATACTAGTATTATCATGCTGAAAAATCATTTTGTCCTCGTCATATTCACATGATTCCAGCACATCTAATAGACAATCTTTGAGAATATTAATATATACTGCCAAATTTAAAGTTCTTTCAACTAATTCAATATGGCAACCTTCTCTTTTTTTCGGCAGTAATACTGACGTCTTTTAAAAGCACCAAAAAGTATAATTCTACTTTCATCAAAAAAAATAACCTTCTTCTAATCATCAATGGTCCAGTCTTTATATTTTGTTGCAAATTTTAAACGTTTTATTTTATGTTGATCAGTAAGAGCAGGACATCTTTTTTTAACTTTAAAAACATATCCATTTCTTCGAAGAACGTTTCGTATTGTTTTGACTGATATTTCTTTATTTATTTCACGACAAAACTTTGCATGCACATCAACTACTGTTTTACATTGCCCGGGATAATCATTTCACATATTAATTTTTCTTCATCGGAAGAAAAAATTTTAGGATGACCCGACCTTAGCAAATTATCAATTTTGTCTGTTTCTTTAAACTTTTTCTCGATTTTAAATACTGTTGAGGAAGAAATTCTTATTGTCCAAGCAACTTGACGTTGAGAACATTTATTTTCAACAAGAGTAAGAATTATTGCTCTTTGAAATAGTGTTAATTTTTGATTTTTATCATTTCTATATAATTAAAATCTTATTACGCTTTTATTCTTAGGTGCTTTTAAAGATTTTTTTTAAAGATGAAAAAGAAAGTAATTTTAAGCAAAAATGATTTAACAATGGCAGCAGAAAAAAATAAAATATATGATTGTTTTCACAATTCTTGCTATAATCTGTACCTTAGATTTATCATTATTAAATATTTAAAGTCAAAAATAATATCTAAATTGTATATATACTCTCTCGTATTTATTAATATAAAATCATATTAGGTATAAAAGGCCTTAAATTTTGTTATATATACATATATATATACTTAACAATTGGAAATAACCTACGTACGTATATACATATATACATATAAATCGAATAATAGCCATTTACTGCATTGATAAATTATCTATAGTTTGTCTTTTTTTAGTTTTTAATTACTACTCTTAGATAGGGTTGTAAATTTTAATATATCATAAAAGTGCATATATATGACCCAGATCTGGTATCATAAAACGTTGTATAAGATATTGGTACCCTCTTGTTCTATACTGTAACTGGTACATTTCAAGGCTATTTGTTGTGGCAATTTGTAAGATACCCTCAATGACTGATTTAATAAGTTATAGTAATTGTACAGGTCTGACATAATAACCTGTATGTACCCAAGTATAATTAAATTAATTAAAAGTATAATGAAAATAAAGTTTTAATTAATAGATGACATAATTACTGATTTATTATAAATATGATTTGTTTTCATGCAATAATTTTAAAGTAACTCTTTTTTGACATGCCGAATAGAACTTTAGCGATCAACGATTCTGAAGCGTTACAGGTTTTAAGCCTTTTCTATGTTACAAATACAGAAAAAAATAATCAGTTTAGAAAGGAAAAAATATCATAATAACATTAAATGAATTTGTAATAAAGCCTCAGCACTAATGCTAATACTATGTAAAATCAAAATCAAAGATCTTTTAATTATACTACTATAATATCCACCAATGTAATTTCAATTATTTATTTATATTATTTTAATTTATTTATTAACCCTACTTAATAATTTTTTTAACCTAGTTAAGGTTTCTATTACCAAAAATTGTATGATTTCAAATTTGAACTTCACAAAGAAAGCTTAATTTCATTCTTAAAACTAACAAATACCTCAAAATTAACAAACGCCTATATATCAGAATCAATAAACATCTATGCATTAGAATCAATAAATGCTTACATCTCAAAGCCAACAAGTGAAAGCGAACGACTAATAGAAAATAATTATTATAATTAAGTAATCGAATACTATAAAAAAAAGATGAAGAAGTATCATTGCCCATTGCAAATAACAAACTATAAAGTATAATAGCAAACTACAAAGAATGTTATTATTCAATTTCTTGATGCTAGTAAATCAATTGATCTTAATTTGAAACTTTTTTTCACTAATCAGTCAAAATGTAGTGCTTTATTTTTCAATAAAATATATAATTAATTTATTTGCTTAGCTAATTATTAAATAGCATTTCACTCAGCTAATTACAATTTAAAATTACATTAATTACAAATTAAAAAATATACTGATTATAATTTGAAAAGCATACTAATTATAATTTAAAAAGTACACTACAGGGTCTATATGAAAAATGTGTAAATTTGAGAATCACATGATTTTATATAGACTCGTACAAATAAATATTTGAAAAAAGCACAGGTTGTTATATAAGACCTGAATTATAACTATAACTTATTCTGCTTATATTAAAATATTTTATTTGATTAATTAAATTAAAATAAAACTAGCTTCAGAACTAATGAGCATCATTATCATTGTATATGCATATATACGATATATAGATATATTTATTTAATTAATTATATGCTTGATGAAAAACATTTGTCTTAAAAATTTAAAAAAAAAGTTTGATTACCTAATGCTAAAAAAAATGGATTTATCATTATGGAGTGATCAAATGCTATTGTCTTCTACATATATGTTGATGTTTTAAATTAGTAGAATTGGTTTTATATTTAGATTTGAAAACCAAATTAAGTTTCAGCACCAAACCCTATGTACAGAATTTATAGTACAGGATATAACCTGATTTAATCATAGTGTTCCACGATTTAATACATACGTACGTACATATAAATTTTTATTTCTGATAGTTATACTAAAGTTGCATATACAGTATATGTATGCATAATACTATATATATATATAGTTTAATATTTATTTTATAAACTACATTTATATAATTTATTATATTATATATACTATATATCACTGTTAATCAT